TTTTCCCCATTCAAAACTATACGAGTGACACGTCTTGGGTATTCTGTAGTCTTTGCAAAAAACATCACAATAATCCACACACTCCAGTCCATCAGTTAATGTCTTGAGAAGACAAATGCTTTGTGTTTGTAAGAAACAAATCCATCATTAACTTCAAATTGTTGCTTCCTGGTAAAATACTGTTTTAGTCCATAATCCATAATAACGCTTCCTCCAGTGACAAAGTGCATCTCCTGTTGTCTCTCACATCAAAATCCAGCCACATATTTGTTTAGAGCTGTTTAAACGCTGCTTGATCTGTGCAGATTTCTCTCCTGATTCACACCAGACCACTTTTTCACTGGAGGAAGAGTTATTATGGATTATGGACTCTATGTATTTTAGTTAAAAACGTCTTAATGCTGGATTAGTTTCAGCTTTTGTCTTCTCCAGATGTTAACTGATGGACTGGAGTGCTGTGGATTTCTTGTGGATTATTGTGATGTTTTTATCAGCTGTTTGGACTCTCGTTCTGACGGCACCCATTCACTGCAGAGCATCCACTGCTGAGCAAGTAACGGGTTATATAAATATGAGCTGGACCCTCATCCATGTATCTTCATATATTATGATATATTATGTGTCTTTTCACCATATAGTGCATTTTACAGGCTGGTTATTTGTTTTCTTGCAGGTTAAAAGTAAATCAAAGCAAATCCCGCAGACTGACGGGGTTAAAAGTGTCCGTCCGACTGTAAACACGGAGGTGATGCCTTGATGTGTGAGTTTATGTAAGGGCCACTGCTAATGAGGGCCTTTCATTCTAATTAAATGCGTATGTTAAATCAGATGGCAGATCTGATCTAATCGTCTGTTTGTCTGCATGTAAACGTTGTGCGCTGGTATTGTGTTTCCATCAGTATTGTGCTGGTTTGTGATATTCTAGTGCCTAATGAGTCTGTGTGATAATGCAGATATACAGATGTCTTGGGTTGTGATTGTATGAAATTAAGACACAATCAAACATAACATCGTCTTGTTCCTCTGAATGAAACGGATTTAATGGAGTAGCCTAATATATATTCAGTTCATGATATTATTTACAGTCTGGAAAGGATTCTGTGAGTAAAAACAGCACAAGAACATTTTGATTTGATATTTTACTATAAAACTAAGGAGCGGATAAAAAGCATAATAAAAATTCTAAAAATTTCTTGCTTCAGTTTTACATCTTTTAAAAAAACATTTAAATTGCACCGATATGTTCATTAAATGTGATTTAACTACCTTTAAGTCGTGCGTGGATCATATTTCACCCTAAAATCAACAGAAATAAGTAATAAAAATATAACAATTTATTTTAATACAGTAAAAAATACTGTATGACATGTAAGAGAATTTAAATAAAATATTAGTATTTTTTATTTTCATTATTTTTTTATATTTAGATTTTGGGGTGAAATTTGAATTGGACGTGTTTAAATATGAAGCAGATATTATAGAGAAGCTTCACTCTATAATGAATGACTTTCTATTCACACTTCAACAATTATTATTGTATTTTTTTATTCTATTGATCATCACTGGCTGAGAAAAAAAGAAAAATATTTAAAATAAAATTCACAGCCAAGTTACTGGCCTGTTTCACATGCATATACATTGCAGCTGCTTTTTTTTTTAACACTTTTATTTACATGTTCTTAGTTTCCACGACCTCAACGACGAGTCTTATGATGCTCCAACATGTCAAGAGTTTAAAAATCTACAGCATCTGTGCAGATGTTAAAATTCATGTGCAGTTACACTGCAAACAGACAGGATTTGGGACTTGATGGATATCGCAATGCTTAAGAAGGCAATGTTTCTAAGGCAAATTAATCATTGCTTAAAACAAGGAATCTAGAGACACTTCTGAGATAATGAATAAAAGATTTTTCCACACAGCTAATGAATAAAACTAACATCCTCAGTGTGTGGCTCTCATACACACTGATATCAGCCTTGCTTCCTTTCAGATCAAATTATTTAAGGAAAAAGGCAACTTTATAAGATCCTGCAATGATTTAACAGGTATAAATTCAATTCTTTCTGAAAAATTAAACACTGTTACATTATCAGATGAATAAAAAACAAAACAAAGAGGACATACAATTAGCAAAACTATTGAACACAACAGGAAGAAGTTGTATTGAAAACTTCACATGAATAAATATTATAAAGCATTCTTAAGCTCTTTGTATCCTTATCACAAACGAGAAATAAACTATCAAAGTAAGATGCGGTATATAAGCTGTTCTGAACATAAAAACACATATACAATCCACAGATTCAAATAAAAGTTAATTAAAAAATGGATTAAAAACAGCTAGTTGACACTTGATGTCTTGGCAAAAAGCCCTTAAAAAGAAACAGACTGTAAATTAGTGTGATGTGTTTCTAACACGTGTGATTGACAAATTAGATTTAAATGGAGAATCAAGATCGCAATGACCTTTGACCCAGATCATGAAACAACACAATACTCCAACGCTTGAGAAAATCTATTCAAATCACTACATTTTTATAAATCGATCATCATCAAAAACTAATAAAAAATCTGACTGACATGATTAAGCGCTGTGCAATCCCAGGATATTACTTGACATATAAAGCATAAATTATGTAAAAAGTAAACATTACTAAAAATAAATGCAACTCTTAATGTTTATAAAAGCAGCCTGACCTCATCATGCCTTTCAATACATAAAACAGGGCGCATACGACTTGCAGGAGCACAATTATCCTCAATTACTCAAAGTCAATCAACATACACATAATTTACAGTCAAATCTCACCTAGACATGAGTAACGTGAGCTGTACAAATATATATATACACCGCCAACGTCATAATATGAAAGTCACGAATAAAAAACAATAGCTATCTAACAGGATCCGAATGTGGTTTGAACCATCAGCGCACTGATTTTCAGCTTCTGTGCTGAGTGATGTGTTGTGCTTATTGTTTTAATATGACCATGAATGTTACACATTTGAGACATTTACACATTTAAAGTCAACATGAACTCAAAACTAACTCTTTTGCATGTTCCAGGTCTTATTGTGAATAAGGTCCTGGTCCTATATTTTTCTTGTTGAATATTCTGGTTGCAGGTCACAAGACAAGGAAGGATTGTAAAACTACACTCTAAATAATGCTGGGTTAAATATAACCCAGCATTTTTTAGAGTGTACTGAATATTCAATACATTGTCCAGCCATAACGTCACATTACGGAAGTACATCAGATTGTGAATGTTGACTTCAACAACTGCACCTCTGTCTGTATAAAGACAGCAGATACACAATTATAGGGCTTTTCACACTGCGATTAACCCTGGGTTATTTTTATTCTAAACTCTGGTAAAGTAACGTTTCATCGTTGCTTTGGGATTGAAACCGCCCTTTGCTTGCGGTTATACCGCTTTTGCGCTGTTATACCCGCTTTGCCGTGCCAAACTTTCACTTTTTTTTAAAACAATGGTGTTAAAATATTACGCCTAAATGCAACCGACATCCATTCACGGAAACATCACGCGTTGTATGAACGTCTTTCGGCGTTTGAGGGGAAGAATATCAAATGGCGACGGAAAACATGTTAATTGGAGTAAAGAAAAAAAATATTCTAACCTTTATAGTCCGAAAAAGTCAATTCAGGAAAAACTTAATACAGTCGGCAATAATGCGAAGACGCGCAACGTTTAAACCATTTTAAGAGGTCGCGTACTGCGTTCGTCCAATCAGCAACGCCGACACCGCTGATATGCAAATCAGAACATAACCCGGGGTTTAGGAATGCAGTGTTGCTAAATCCGCGGTTTTCCCGCGGAATTTGGCGACTTTAACACTGTTGCCGCGGGTGGTTTTTCCATGTCCGCGGGTTAAAGCGACTCCAATAACATGATATTTATCCCCTGGAATGCGAATTTTAGCAGGGGAACCACGCCAAAAAAACATATATTTTACAAAAAAACGTAAGATAATTTAGGTTTGACCCAGAGTTGACTATTTCAAGTGTGAAAAACCCTAATAAGAAATCATGTTAATAAGTTAAGGTGCGGTCATGTTTACAATTGCTCAGCTAATTTCGCGGCAAAATCCAGTCATTTCAGGAATCCACGCGATCCGAAGTTTTGCGTGAGGGTGAAAAGTTTCCCAAGCAGATTTTGCTCATGTTTAAAAAGCCCTGAACATGACATGCGCAAACAAAAAAATTCAAATTCAATAAAATATATAAAAATTATATATATATATGTATTTTTTTTCCATTCCCAGGGCTTATTAATTCGTTTTATCATTTCAATCAACCCATCGCTGAATTCATTCAATTCATTCTCTTGTTTCAGTAAATAGTAGCTATTCATTTGTTCCTCAGGTTTAATTTAAAAAGAGGGAACAAATTAGTAAGTGGCTACAATTTTACAAAATGAAAGAACAAATTAATAAGTAAACACAAAAATATGTAAACACATCTTTACAGCACAGAATAGAAAACAACCCATGTTGTGTGTGTGTGGAAGCACTGCTACACATCTATAAGAGTTTATTGGCCCTGTATATCACGGTTGACTGACCCGTCCTAATCTAAACAACTACAACAGCATCTGCTCCGGATCCAGACCCATCGGCGTCTAAACCTCATTGATAGTTCGCTCCGAAGGCCGGTATTCTGCGCTCGTCTCCGACGCCATGCTGAAGGACTGAGTCTTGCGTTTCAAGTGCGCTCTCTTGTTGGCCAGAGACAGGCTGTGCTTGCTGGAGGCGATGATGTCGGAGATGAACTTCTTGCAGTCGACGCAGACCTCCATGGTGTTCCAGTCTTCCATCAGCTCTTTCGGGAGCTCGGTTTCCTCCTGAGACGAGGACGACTGGCGCGTGTGCTTTGATAATCTTAGAGAGATAGGAAAGAGACAGTGAACAGTGTTGGGGAAAGTTACTTTTAAAAGTAATGCATTACAATATTGCGTTACTCCCTAAAAAAGTAGCTAATTATGTTACTTAGTTACTTTTTATGGAAAGTAATGCGTTACGTTACTTTTGCGATACTTTTTAAATCTGGGCAGGGCTTGCTTGTTTGTTTTTAATATAAAAAAGTTATATTTTTGGCAAACGTAAAAGCCCTTTAACACCAAAAGTGAAATGAATAAGCCTCAGGCTGAAGGAAAAGTAAATTCACGTCTGTACAGTAGAATGCAGAAGAAGAAAGTTCAGCACACTTCAGCAATAAAAAAAAACTAAAGAAGCACAAATGTTTATCTAGAGGCATTTTTGTTTATTCGTATGGTTGAATTGGATCATCGAAGGTCAACAGCAAAGACACTGGTTAATAAAATGGGATTAAATACATAAAGGATATTTGTGTTAACATTTAATTATTGCAGGTTTGCATCATATTCTGAGTTGCATTTCATGGTTTTTATTTATTTTGAGGAATACTGAATCTGTTTTTTTTCTTGCAAGTGAGATTAATTCAATCAATAAATGGGAAAAAAGTAACTGGCGTTACTTATTTGAAAAAGTAACTTAGATATTGTCTTGTAAATGAAAAAGTAATGTGTTACTTTACTAGTTACTTGAAAAAAAGTAATCTGATTACGTAACTCACGTTACTTGTAATGCGTTACCCCCAACACTGACTGAATATAAGCATCAGAGCAGCAGAGACGAGCTCTATGCTGGGTTTTTGTACCTGGACATTGTGCGCTGTAGGCTGGGTCGATGGTGGCTTGTACTGGGCTTCTCTTGCTTGTGGCTGGATGCATCCCGTTTCAGAGTCGACGTGGAGGGACCCAGAGAGTAAATGGGGAGACTGCCATAAGGCTTTGATGGCAGGCGCATCTAAAGCAACAGAAAAGGACTGTTATGTAGAGAAAAATAAATGAGAACAGAACGAGCTGAACTAGTGCTGCGCGGTATGACCAAAAATTTATATCACGGTATTTTTCAAAATTATACCGGTTTCACGGTACATGACATGAATTTTTTTTTTTCATGCATGACCGGGTGTTAACCATATTTTCTACTGATTGAGAGGAAATACTGCAGTATATTGACTTAGAATGCCCTATTTTACTATCATGATGAGTGAATATTGTCAAAAAATACCACACTAAATAGTGACTAAACACGACCCCTTTTAATACATGTTAACCAGGAGTCACTCTCATTTATAATCACAGCATCGTCTGATAAAATCAACATGCATCTACACTAAAGAGCGCTGATGGCAGGGGGCGGGGGATATTTGATATTTGTCAATGTGGATATTGTGGAGTTCTTCTGTGTCATCATCACATTCTATTAGTTCTACAGCTTCAGTTTCTGAACTTTCACGCTTAGTAACACATACAGCTGTTCCTTCACCACAGTGCAACAGTGAAAAGGGACCCCTTTCAAACAGTGTCGCGTTCCGAACGTTGTTTAAGCGACATACACCGTATGTTGACATGCAAGCGTGCAATGCTCGTATTGCGGTATTTTAAAAATTCATATCATAACAAAAATAATCACCGGTATTCGGTATGAACCGGTATACCGCCCAGCACTAAGCTGAACACGATGACATTTCCAGGCCCATTGTGACCGTGGAAATGGAGTCACGATGAACTCGCCACAAATAAGGTAAAACATTTAATAAAGTTATGTGAACATGAAGAGGGTGTACAGATCATGACTTACTTTCTTACAGCATTGTGAACAGACAGGCCTGCGAAAATCAAGAAAAAGATGATACAGCACCACTACTTTCTATTAAATATCTAAAAACAAGCAAGACTAAAATGTTGAATGGCAGGTTATTTATTACCTTTTACAAAACTGACAGGTGTAGGACCAGGTAAAGAAGGAAAACCGTTTCGTTCGGCAGCAGAAGCACAGCTGTGAAAAGAGAAATATCAATGAATCAATACAGTCATACTTAATATGCACAATATATTTGCCATGACTTTGCTGCCAAAATAAAAATAAAAGCAAAATAAATATGACAATGATTTTAAAACACTTTTTATTTCTCCATTAAGTTTCCTAAAGATTGAATCATTAGCTTAAGACAGAGATGTGTTAATGGTGTCTGATTTGAGTTAAGTTCGACACAAATATATGCAAGTATATGCAATATACACACTACCGTTCAAATTTTTTTTTTTTTAAAGACGTCTTGTCTGCTCACAAAGGCTGCATTTATTTGATCAAAAATACAGTAAAAACAGCAATATTGTGAAATATTAATATAATTTAAAATATCTGTTTTCTATATGAATATATAGTCAAATTTAATTTATTTCTGTGATGCGCAGCTGTATTTCCAGCATCATTACTCCAGTCTTCAGTGTCACATGATCTTCAGAAATCATTCTAATATGCTGATTTACTGCTCGAGAAACATTTCTGATTATTATCAATAACAGTTGTGCTGACGAATATTTTTGTGGAAACTGTGACACATTTTATTTTTCAGGATTCTTTAATGAACAGAAAGTTCAAAAGAACAGCATTTATTTGAAATAGAAATCTTTTCTAACATCATAAATGTCTTTAATGTGTCCTTGCTGAATAAAAGTATTAATTTCTTTAAAAATATATATGTTTAATATAATTTTTACTATTGTTTACTTCATGCATTATACCTTTTCCATCTATATGATTGCAGTGCCTGTTTTATTGACATGCTGCTTCTGAATGTTTGCTCTAAATGATAAAAGCAGTTCTCACCTTCCCCTTCTTCATGGCATTGTAGATGTCTTTGTACTGCTGAAACTTCTCCAGTTCGGCTTTGACCAAAACCTGGCGAATGTGCATCACTTCCTCCACCGTCAGAGCCAGACACTCCACCGGGAAACAAAACTCTTCCTGTCCAAACACATCGGCCAGACATCAGCAGAGACCAAACTGCAGCAGTGATAGCATACTAACATGCCACTCATACCTGTAATATGTATATTGCAATGCAATGCTTGCATTTCCAGACGACAAATGAAATCGAATTACAGTTATAATTTTTCACTTAAGAAAAGCAACATAAATGTTTTTATTTCCAAAATGATTACTAGATACAACTGTAAATTGATGAGGTCATTAAAGGGGTCATACGATGCGACTTCAAGTTTTTCCTTTCTCTTTGGAGTGTTACAAGCTGTTCGTGCATATATAAGATCCGTAAAGTTGCAAAGACTAAAGTCTCAAACCCAAAGAGATATTCTTTATAAAAGTTAAGACTTGTCCACGCCTTCCTAAAACGGCTCGTTCTAA